TGTTGTCTGACTTCCTCCAGTTACACACACGTCCAGCTTCAGAATTAAAGCAGATTAAAATACTGCTGCACTTCTTCAATTGTCAGATGTCAATCAAATCATAGAATCCTAGAATGGCCTGGGTTGCAAAGGCCCACAGTGCTCATCCAGTTCCAACCCCCTGCTATGTGCAGGTCGCCAACCAGCAGCCCAGGCTGCCCAGAGCCACATCCAGCCTGGCCTTGAATGCCTGCAGGGATGGGGCATCCACAGCCTCCTTGGGCAACCTGTTCCAGTGCCTCACCACCCTCTGGCTGAAAAACTTCCTCCTCATATCCAACCTAAACCTCCCCTGTCTCGGTTTAAGACCATTCCCTCTTGTCCTATCACTATTCACTCTCATAAACATTCCTTGGAATAAATTTATTTGGCATTATTTTCAAAGTCAAAAGATGACCATTCCCAGATACAGTTACCTTCCTGTGTCAGTAGTATTCAATCAAGTAAATCACTTCCATGTTTATGAAAAGACAGATCACAGCAACATGATTTTAGGTAGCTCTGTTTGAAACCTCTCTTCATTTAATGCAGCTTTGATAAAATTAAGTTTGATCCAATTGTAAATAAATAAAATCTATTTTGTAACAAAATTTTCATTCTGCGTTAAGAAGACACAATCAGCTTATTGTATACTAGAAAATATAAAAGATATTTTAAAATGGAATATACCTGAAAGTTTGGACAAGTACTTCACATCTCTAGATGGCAACATTTTGAAGGCACACCAAAGAATCACAGAATTGAAGGGACTCAAGAGATCACTGAGTCCAACCCCTCTGCTGAAGAAGTTCCCTACATTAGATGGCACAGGTTGGCCTCCAGATGAGTCTTGAGTATCTCTATAGAAGGAGACTCCATCACCTCTGTGCAGCCTGTGCCAGTGCTCTGCCATTCTGACAATCAAGAAGTTCTGCCTTGAAGAAATATCAGATGTACTGATAGTTCCCCATACTCCAGAGAAATAAATTTTAAATAACAGTAGTTAAATAGAAATGTATTTCTTGTTACTGACCACAGTTCAGTGCAAAACGGGTTAATTTATTTGAAGCATACCTTTTGAACTAAAAGACTGTGATTTAGATTTCACTTCAGAGATTTCTCACCCAGACAGGTAGAAGCTGTGCTTTCTAAGCAGAAAATATAATTAATTTTTTTTTTTTAAAAATCTGCCTCTGTAATAAATACAAGGAGATATTATCTTTTAATTACCAGGTTTCGTAAAATTTAGATGTTAACTACTCCAGTCTTTGTAACACAGTGCCCAACTAATGCTGACCACATAACTGTGGATAACATTTCTAATACTGAAATTGAATTATTTGTACATTACCTTTTTCTGGAGATACTTCTGTTGCTTGGGAAGAGTGGTGGAAGTTAGAGGCTCTCCTCACGCTAGGGCTGTATATATATACCCATTCCCTTTCTTTGTCAATATTTATTGCAGATAAATGACATCACCTTTGGGGCTGTGCATTTTAGAAGAAATAATTTTTCTTAAGGAACAGGCAATTGCAAATAAACCAATCCAACTGCATTTTTCTTCCTTTTTTTTTTTTTTTTTTTTTTTTTTTTTAATTTTTCTCATCTCCAGGGTAGAAAAAGAGAAGATAAAGGGCCTGTTCTTTTGCAACACAAAAACACCGGTAGACTGATAAACAGGCTGATGTGTTCACAAAATCAAAGCTCAGCTTTAGGGATGCTGCTTTGCAATTCTCTGTTCTGATTCTGGCAAAAGGATGCCATAAATATTTTGAGGTAGGGACATAAGTCACATAAGATAATCACTTAGTGCACAGAAAGATCAACACACTGGGAAAAGGTGATATTTTCTTTAAGTAGCCTCTGAACTTTAGTTTAATAGATAAAATATATATTGCTTTAGTTCACCAAGGCCAACGGGCTGTGGCACAAGGAATTATTTATAGGCACCATAAAGACTGTGATTCCATTGCTGGAGAGTAACCTACTTGCAAAATGGGTACGGGTGTGTACCTCTTTCCCCTTGCTTTGAAGAGATGTTTGAATGCATGGCTTGTGCTTGATTTTCTTTTTCCTTCAGGGTAGCATTACTTAAATCACCCTTCATATCATCTTTTTCTTCCACTGTCCTTAATAAAGTATTATCATTATGTCAACTTTGACAGCTCCTCAGTGCTCATCTCTGCTCTGTTTAAATGAAACTTCCATGGTGCCTGTTGGCTTTTAGAAATCATAAAGCATCTCCTTGTTCTGCACACGCAGTTCCCTTCCTCATCCTTGCCTTTACTTCAGTGCCTCCTCACTGAGCAACTTTCTGGTTGATGCTCAGCTGAGTTTACTGTCCACAGTACAACTGAATTTTGTTTCCTTATTTCCTATTTTCTACAGAACTTCTGAAGTTGTTGATACTGCCAGCATTTTAATATTGGATTATAGCTCCTTTGCAACACAGCTGCTTTTGTTCTTTTTTTTGTATAATGGGTAGAACTATGGGAAGTCATTAGCTCTCCTACATCCTTCAGTGTTCTCATAGAAGGGCAAGGGTGTTTTATCTCTGTGAAAGCTTTTCTTGTGATAACTTTGATGAGACTACAGTTATCACTATAAGAAGCCCAGTAAACTACCTACTGCAGTTATGAAGATTGCATCTCTCTATTGACTGTAAGGAGAGGCAGAATCTAGCAGTTCCACCTACTCAGTGTCTTGGGAGATTGTTTTGCCTTTTTCCCTTCTACCATATAGAAAATATTTATCTAAGCTTGACTGGAAGATTTAAAGTGAAAACACACATTCCCCTCTGAATCACTCCATCCAGTACACTCAGTAATTTTCATTAAATTGCTACAGTCACCTGAGCTGTATTTGTGTAGTTAAAATTAAATAATATTTTGCAAGTATTCCTTTACAATGTACCACACCTGTTTAAATAATCAAATTCATTTATCTTATAAAGAATATCTGTCAGATATGTTACAAATCATGGTCAATGGGTAAAAGAATTGGGAAGAAAACAGAGATTAATAAAACTGACATCCGGGTCAAAGGTACTGAGAGCAATTCAGCATACCAACTCCCTCTTACTTAAGTGGACTATCTGAAAGGGTGGAGTAATTTAATTAAAAAAAAAAAAAAAAGAAGAAGAAGAAAATAAAAAAGGATTAATTTCACAGTTTTCTACAAATGTACAGGTGTACTCTTCACTGGGTAAGGAGCTGGCTGGATGGCTGGGTCCAGAGGGTGGTGGTGAATGGAGTTACACGTAATTGGCAATTGGTCATGAGTGGTGTTCCAGGAGTGAGAACTGGGGCCTGTCCAGCTTAATATCTTTATTGATGACCTGGATGAAGGCATTGAGTGCACTCGTGGCAAGTTTACAGATGCCATCAAGTTGGCAGGAAGTGTCGATCTGTCTAGGGATAGAAATGCCCTACAGAGGGATCTGGACAGGCTGTATCACTGGGTTGAGGCCAATGGGAAAACAGAGAAGACAAAGAGTTCAAGAAGTGTACAAGTGTTGTGCCCTGAAAGTGACCAACGTGGCTCAGAGGAGGCCTTATCACTTTCTACAGCTCCCTGAAAGGAGGTTGTGGTGAGGTGGGGATCGGCCTCTGCTCCTACATAACAGCGATAGGATGAGAAGTGATGGCCTCAAGTTGTGCCAGGGGAGGGTGAGGTTGGATATTAGGAGGAATTTCTTCTCCAAAGGAGTGCTAATGCATTGGCACAGGCTGTGCAGGGAGGTGGTGGAGTCACCGTCCCTGGATGTGTTCATGAAACAGGCAGATGTGGCACTGAGAGACATGGTTAGTGGGCATGGTGGGGATGGGTTGATGTTTGGACTGGATGGTCTTAGAAGTCTTTTCCATCTTTAATGGTTCTGTGATTCTATGTACGTATTTTAAAAGTAGATAAATCTATGGAAAAATCTATGGAAAGTTACTTTAAAACATAAACAAATTCATCTGGAGAGATTTGACTGTGGACATTCTCCCAGCCCTTAAGTAAATATGAACTATGAGAATCTGATCTGAGCCCAAGGGAAGGCAAAATTCCAATTTCTTCATTTTTTTCAGTTCCCCTGAATGTAATGGCAGCAGAATCTTTGAAGGCTGTTGGATTACAGATTTGGAGATGCTGAGCATGTACAACTTGCACATTGAAAATTCTGACAACAGCACAATTCTAATACTGTTGCAACAATCTGGAGGAGCTGTTTATTCAGCTAGCATTGAGAGCAGGAGCAACAACTCTACCCATCCCATAGGTACACATGCTGTTATGCCTGCACTCAGCCTTAGGAGAGCAAAGACATTCTCCATGGCTTTTCTTTACCATTTTCAGTCCAAGCAGATGTACCAGTTACATCAGTGCCTGCTACAGTACAACTGCTGTCTTTCAGGGCTGAAATGTGCTTTCCCTTTACTAATGAAACGTTTCAGGCACTATTGACTATAGGTGATTTTTCAGGTCCACTGCCAGAGGCAGACCCGCAGCATGACTTCTCATCACAGCTCACCTTCAGCTTACGTAGCTAATGACTTCAGCTGTAGATATCTTTGTGTGGAACAGGCTATACAAACAACTAACATTTCACATGAATGCATTTTTTGTTTGCTACAGGCATTTGCTTGGAAAAGGTGTTTCTTTAACATGTCAGTACTGATGGTAATATGGGGCCTTTTGCCATGAATTCTTTAAAAATGTTCCAGCCTTATTCATAGAATCATAGAATGGCTTGGGGTGGAAGAAAGCCCAAAGATCATCTAGTTCCAACCTCCCTCACATGGGTAGCCTTGCCAACCACTGAATCAGACTGCCTAGGAACCCATGAAACCTGATCTTGAATGTCTCCAGGGATGGGTTGCCCACCCTTTTCTGGGCAGCCTATTCCAGTGCCTCGCCACCATCTGAGCGAAGAATTTTTCCTAACATCTAACCCAAACCTCCCCTCTTTCATTCCCCCTTGTCCTATCACTACCTACCTGTGTAAAAAGTTGATCCTCCATTCTACTCGTAAGCATTTTGATCTCCTACACTTGATGCGGGAGTATAACAAAGATGCAGGAAAATTGGTCTTTGCATAACAATGTCCAGTTGACAAAAGCTGTTTAACTTACAGAGGCTGAAAAGCATGTTAAAGTGTAGAAGAAAACAGGGAAATCTGATTCACAAATAGTGAGTCCTACATGGTCTGTTCCATTGGACTGGTCACAGTAAGCACATGGGAAATGTTCAGAGCAATGAAAAAATTCATTAGAGATGCTCCATCTGAAGTGACAGTACACCACGATGAAGAGTCATTTGGAAATGCTATTGCTGATTAATGGCAATATTAATTGTAATAATGATTGAATTAACTGCCGTGGCCACGCCATCTGGCCATGGCCAAACTTGTTTGTGCAGCAGCTTTTCACCTTGTTTGTAACAGTAGAGAGTTTTTAACACCGTGAAGAGGGAAGGTGCTTGATAAAGGCTGGATTGAACTCATGTTACCATGGGATATACTACACACCCAGTCACTCAAGTGAGAGGACTTTCTGCACACCTTTATGAAATGGGGGCCATTCCACAGTTTGATGAGCAGAAATCATAGGCATAGATGGAAAAGAGGGAAGAGGGAGTATTTAACTGCATGAAAAAAGGCCCTGATAAAAAGAAAAAAAAACCACTGTAATGGAAGCTATAGAGTTCTAGTTTCTACATCCTGTAATACCTTTGCCTTTAACAGAGATAGAAAATGTACACACAGTCCAGGAAACAGAGTCTGGAACATTGACTTTTTGAATGCTATAATGAGCTGTAGAAGAATAATTGGTAAAGAAATTGCTTCTTGGCTGAAACCAACACATTTCTTTTACAAGTTTCTGATATTGGTAAGTACCCAGTTATTCACGCTAATGTCGAAGATATCTAAATACACGTGCTTACGTTAGTGCTTTTCTATGGTCAAGGTGGGGAAAAGCAAATACAGACATTTCTTAATAAGTTAATGAGTAGATTCTTTTGAAAGAAGTCATAGAAAATAATTGTGTCTAACTAAAAGAGGGCAAGTATAATGTGGGAGTCTGCATCTGAGCTAGTTAACCCATCAGAGTGAAGGACCTCTTCTAGGTTTAGGCAGACCTAAATCTAAATGCAGTAGAATGAAACGTCCATGAAGATGTCCAAGGCACATTGCAGTGCTAAAAATGTTATGCAGGACACAAGAAAGACCAGTTCCCTTCCAAAGGGCATTTGGAGGCTTGGCAGGGTAATCAGGGGCACCACAACATTTTCTGGAATCCCAACTGGACTAAATGCCTTATATGAATTTTAAGGGTTTCCTGAGAGAGTGTTATCTCATATTAAGATATGTAATTTTTGGCAAGTTTATTACATATCAGACTGTGATCTTCATTAACCTGGATTCAGATGAAATTGCAGGTGAAAGGCAGATGAGATCTGTATCACTCAAGGTACTCATTTTCAAATGTGGGGACCACAGTAACTTTTATTTTTTTGGCATATAATACCACCACTACAACCAAACATACCAATATTAGCCTTTTAATAACCAGAACTCAGCTTACCAAAATCTGTACTGTAGTCGTCTTCACCTACACTCAGTTCTCTTTGTCACTGGAGAAAAGTAGTCAGTTCTGAGATGAGATGTGCATTGCTCTGAATGTCTCACCTTAAAGCAGGACACATAATTCAAGAATTAAACATATTTTAGCTAACTAACAATTAAGGGTATTTGGAGAAATTAGTTTGCATTACAGATATTTCAGTCCTGGAGAAGTGAATCTCACCTCCTACTCTTCTGCAATGGATTGTAAAGAACTGGAGCTGTCTGTTACCTATGGAGAAGTTTAATTTGGATCAAACATCCCAAAATGAATCGGTACAGAGAAAAAGTGACATAAAAACCTGCCTTCAGCAGCCAGAAGCTCTTTTAGAAGCATTGTAAACAAATATTCATAGCCTCTGTTTTCAGATGAACTGTGCCTATATCAGCAAATTCAACTTGACCAGAAAAATCATATTCAGAGATTTGGGCCTGATGGCTTTGCTTTACTTACCATTCCAAAATCAAGTGCATTTATTGACTATGGACAGTTTAAGGTGTCATCTTTGTCCCATATTCTGACTTTTGCAGTGTTTTATTGGCTGAAATGAACACCTTTCATTTGGTTTCCCATATTGGAACTCTACCCCTTCATCCAGGTCGCTGATGAAGGTGTTGAACAAGACCAAAATTCCTAAGCTTGCCTATGAACGTGTTGTTGGAGGCAACATCAAACACTGTGCTGAAGTCAAGGTACACAGCACCCACCATTCTCCCTCCCCATCTACCCAGCCTGTTATGACGTGGAAGACAGCCAGATCTTTGTCTCTCACGAGATATCTGCCAGATGTACTATGGTCACTGAGTCATCTAATATAGTGTGAGACAATTCTTCGTGGGCATCTTCACCACTTCCAACAGTCAATGGGAAGAGGCAGAAGAGGGAAGAGACAGAGTGTGCAAGCCAACACAAATCCCTGTGACGTGAGGAATCAGGGCACTCATCCAGGAGGAATACGTGCTTCAGCATATGCAAGCAGAGCAGGGATCCATCCAAGTTTCCTACACAGTGAGTGAAGTAATTTATTTGCACAGGGGAAGGAGATGGAAATCTAACTGCTGTGCACTTATCTGCATCTCTTCCTCTAAATATGCAGAATTAAGCACATTAGTCGCAGGTCACTGGGGTGATTCAGTGTGGATTACTTTTTTTTTTTCTAATTTATTAGAGAAAATGGGAAAGAAGAGGTTATCAGTAGTTATCAATAATTAAGTTCTACCACCATGACTCTGTTTCAGCTGCAGGAAAAGAGCACCAAAATGTAGCAATTATTTGAAGCATCTTTCCAAGAAGAAAAAAATGAGTCTTTTCCAATGTCTGGGCCTTAATTTTAAAACTGCCTGTCATAAGCAGACTCTTGAGTAAATAGGAAGACTGCTCCAAAAGTATTGCCTCCTATTTTATTTATGTTGGCCCACAACATCAGAGGTGGATGTTGGTGGGATGGCAGTAGAGGTTGAACCTTCCCACCAGTATCTCCTTCCACGTTATTGCCATGTGACAGATGGCAGCCAAGGAGCAGAATGGCATCTGATGTGGAAATGGAAGAAAAAGGGTATAACTGAATTCCACAACGAGGGGTGAATGGTGCATAACAGCAGTGATAACAGCAATGGTGGTCATCTCCACTGGTGCAGACTGTTATGAGTGCAGCATGCAGGCTGTTGTTCACAGCTGGTGACAGTGCACAGCTAACGGTGGTGACTACGTTGAAAAATATTGTTTTGTCACTGAGAATTTACTCTATCCAATATTGTTAGTGTGCTCTTTGTGTCTATTGTAGTTTTCATGGAAATTAGTAGGCAGCATTACTTTTGAAGTGACCTGTTTGTTTCTGTGCTTCTTTTAGGTTTTACAGACAGAGTTCAGCACTGCTTTTAGCAGGTTGAGATACTGCATGATAACAGATCCTAAAGTCCTTTTTCAATAATGCTTCACATTCAGATTTCTCTTTGAGAATACTTTATTACAGCACAACCTGGGCAGCTATGGTGAGAGAGCTTTAAAAAATATTCACTGCAGCCTATGGGCCATCCAGCACTCTGGCTTGGATTATTATTATTATTACATTGCAGGTTGCAGGTTTTTTTTCTGATCATGTATTCATCTTGGTCTAGTTCCTTCCTTATAAAAGGAGAATAAATAAATCCCTCTGTTCTTCTTGCTCAGTCTGTTTGCTTCTATTTTTCTTCTGAAAGTTATCAATTCCACAATCAACTTGAGTAGCTGGGAAAGGTCTCCATACCATGTGTGGCCAAATGTACCCTCACTAAAAGTCCCACTGCTGGAGGGGTAATGTTGCTTAAAATGGAGAAATGAAGTTACTAGCATTATCACAGGTGTAAATTTCCAGTAGAAAAGAACTGCAGGCTTCAAGTACCTGAAGGAATTATGTCACCTTCTTCTTTACTGCATTTATACAGTATTTTAAGATATCAAGCGAATTACTTAGCCCAGTGTAAGGTTAAGCTTGCACATCTCTCTTCTAAAAATTTGCACTAGGAATTTCCACAAAGTGCAGTATAGGTTTTACATTCTGAGTCATTTCTGTGCTAATATTTACAGAGCAATATATGATAAACCTCTTTGGAATGTCAATATGCCAACTTAGGACTTATAATAGTGAAAAGAATGAAATAACTAATATAGGTCTTATTAGTAAGATGGTGGTTAATGCACCCCAGAATAAAACGTCTTTTTTTTTTTTTTTTATCATTAATCCATTTTAAAACTTTAGGTTGTTTCCTGCCATATTGTGTTCTGGCTTGTTATCATCCAGTTCGCATTTATCATAGAATCATAGAATCATAGAATCATAGAATCATAGAATCATAGAATGGCCTGGGTTGAAAAGGACAACAATGCTCATCCAGTTCCCACCCCCTGCTATGTGCAGGGTCACCAACCAGCAGACCAGGCTGCCCAGAGCCACATCCAGGCTTTGAATGCCTCCAAGGAGGGGGCATTTATGTTCTTTGTTATTCTTTTGCTTCATCTTCTATCATCCCAGGCATAGCATTTCCAATTTATTAGGCTATTTTTAAATTCCAATCCCATCCTCTACACAATGTGGAACATCAACCAGCTTGGTGCCAGCGGAATTTTTAATAATTGGACTCCCTATTCAACTGTGCAAGTAAACAGTGAAAACAGTGATTGCCTCTCGCAATAGGGGAGCCCTCGGGGCCCTTACCTGATATGAATTCTTCACATCAGTGTGAGATGCAAATTGAAACATTCCAAATTTCAACTAAGTGTGTCTTCTCTTCACAGACATTTAATCCAAAGTGCATTTTCTTTGTTCATATGTGACAACATATAGGACAATATCAGAAGTCTTATTAAAGATGAAGTCTTGTCTATTGCTTTCAGTTTACTCATCTTGTCAATTATCCATC